TCCTGCCTCAGCCTCCTGAGTAGCTGGGATTACAGGCACGCGCCACCATGCCCAGCTAATTTTTTGTAGTTTTAGTAGAGACGGGGTTTCACCATGTTGACCAGGATGGCCTCGATCTCTTGACCTCGTGATCCACCCGCCTCGGCCTCCCAAAGTGCTGGGATTACAGGCTTGAGCCACCGCGCCCGGCCCTATGTATTTTTATTTCTAATTGCAGTAAAATACACATATCATAAAATTTATCATCTTAACTATTAAGTGCACAGTTGAGTGGCTTTAAGTACATTCAGATTGTTTTGCAAACATAACAATATTAATCTACAGATTTTTCATCTCATAAAAGAAGAAACTGAAACTCTGTACTGATTGAACAAGAATTCTTATTTCTTTTTGCACCTCATCCCCAGCCCCTGGCAACCACCATTCCTCTTTCTGTTTCTGTGAGTTTGTCTACCTCTAGATACCTTAGAGAGGTATAATCATATAGCATTTTTCTTTTTGTGACTGGCTTATTTCCACTTAGCATAATGTTCTCAGGGTTCATCCACATTGTAGAATGTGTCAGAATTTCTTCCCTTTTTAGGGCTGAGTAATATATTCCATTGCATGTACATATCACATTTGCTTATCCATTCCTCCGTTGGACACTTGGGTTGCTTCTGAGTTTTGGCGATTGTGAATACCGTTGCTATGAACATGGGTATACAAATATCCCTTCCACACATTATATTTTAAAAAAATTTTTTTAATTTAAAGTTGAAACTTTTTGGCCAGTCTAAGTGGCTCACAACTATAATCTCAGCACCTTGAGAGGCTGGGTGGGAAGACTGCTTGAGCCCAGGAGTCTGCGACCAGCCTGGGCAACACAGGCTCTACAAAATAAAAACTAAACCTAATCAGGCATAGTGGCATGTGCCTGTGGTTCCAGATAGGAGGCTGAGGTAGGAGGATCACTTAAGCCTGGGAGGTCGAGGCTGCAGTGAGCCATGATCATGCCACTGCACAAGTGCAGCGATAGAACGAGACTCTGTCTCAAAAAAAAAAAAAAAAACAAGAAATATTGCAACTTTCATTTTAGATACAGGGGTACATGTGCAGGTTGTCATGGGAATTTTGCATGATGCTGAGCTTTGGGGTATGGATCTCATCACCCAGGCACTGAGCATAGTACCTGATAGTTTTCAACTCATTCCCTCCTTCCTCCCTCCCCCGCCCCAGTTGTTTCCATGTTTATGTCCATGTGTGCTCAGTGTTTAGCTCCCACTTATGAGTGAAAACATATAGTATTTAAATAGTTTTTTCTTTAAGTTGATTCCTCCTTTTCCTGTTCCACGGTCTGGTTATATAACTATGACTCTATTCCGAACATTCCGACAATAAAGTAGTGGAGATGGGCAAGTGGATTACCCCCGGGGAAGAATCGCCTGGGCTACACCTCAGAAAATAATGCATCTTTTTCTGTTGTTCTGATTCCCGTTACAGGACGAATGCCTTAGTCCCCACTTTCCAGCCTGGATCCCCTCACACTGAACCCTTCTCCGTTGCACCATTCTGCTTCTGACATTGAACTCATTGAACTCCTCCTGACACCCTGGCTCCAAGAAGACTGCCAAAAAATAAAAAATCACCCCAGCCATTTCTCTTCATCCTCACTAACAATTTGGTAATGAAGTATTGATTTCCACTTCTCTGCTTATGGGCGATATTAGATTTTCATTGATAAACTGCAATGGGTCTGTCTCGTCTCTACAAGGACCCTTTTCACTGTCACAAGAGAACAAAGTGCCACCGAAGAAAAGTAATGACTGAGAACATTGCTGTACTTATTTTGTCAGTTTGTAACAGGAAAGTGGGTACGAGGGGGAGTATAAGTCTTCATAGTTTAATGTCCACGTGGGCTGCACTCAAGGTAGACATTTGGAGGCTTACTTTTCATGGTAATGTCCATTTCCTATTTATAACCCCTCTGGGAACGTTTGTCTAAAGGAAATGTTTCTGTTCAGTGTAACAATTACGGTTGCACCTGGATTGCCCAGTCCTGCCCCTGCACTAGGGGGCCATTAATCACTACAAAGTAGAAGAATTATTAAGTTAAACCAGAGTTTGAGCCAAGAAAACCCCTGAACAATGTTCATCTTCTGTGAAACTTGTTCAAATAGTTAAGCTTAACCATGTTGCTGCCAAAGACTGTTCCCATGCAGTGGTGAGCACCTTGATCATCATCATTATCTTGATTGGTTAAAAAAAAAAAAAAAGTTTCAAGCACGCACCACTGTCGTATGAGAACTGCAAATTGGGAGAATTGGTGAAGTGCAGAATCTGAGAGAACGTGAGATGACATCATTGCAGGGTGGACAGTTCCACACAGCCTTTTCTGGGAATCCTTTTCGGAGGACTATTTGCGGGCTGTAAAACGCCACTTAGCTTTAGAAGCAACAGAAAGCATGAAATAGGGTGTCCATTTTAAATGTGTTCCCGCAACTTTTTTCATTAAAACTTTGAGGGCCCGATTTTAATTTGTGGAATATTCCCGTTAATAATGAGATCTAATTAAGACATCCATTAAAAGCCCGTTAAAGTTAATTTAACGTAAAAATTCCAATAGAACTGTATTAGATTTTCTCCATTAAATTAACATTATGGATTTTTAACGGATGTCTTAATTATACGTTATTATTAACGGGAATACTGTATTACACAGATTAAAATCAGGTCCTAAGTCAACTTGGAAAAGCTAAGAGCATGTTTTAATACTGAAAGTCTTGCATACCTAGTGCACAGTTTGGAGACGCAAGGATGGATCTGTTTACTCTGGTTGAACATTTTCTATACAATTGAAAGCAACCTATAATAGATAAATCCATCATTGCATTTAAACAATGAATTTCCTTATTCTCACAGGACAAGTAAGTCTGGATTATGTGGTAAATTGCTACTCCACTATGGTGAAATATTTATACTATTCTAGGCACAACACTAGGAACCAGATGATTCTGAAACAAAAGAATATTTTCTCTTGTTGCTTTAATTACCAAGGTTATTTTTTAAAAAACTCAACACTGACAAAATGAAGCCAAATATCTCTTCCTCACAATTTCTCGAGGAGGCTGCCTGTTGGAATTGTTTTGGAAATTTTGACATGATCCCTAAATTCAACATTGGGATTAAAAAAAAACTTCTTATTTACCTCCTAGGGAAAGTGTTGCCCTTATGCCACATATAATAGCAAATTGCTTTTTTTATGGCATGCATAACCTAGATGGGAAAAAATATGGCGCTTCGGGGAAGGAGGGAAAAAGTAAATGAAGTTCCAGGAATGTCATTCTGAAGTAATGAGGCATGGACAGAAAATATACCCCTCACATCATCGGATTGAGATGGCAGTCGAAATAGCTTCATTGAAGTGTCAGCACTCATCCATCAATCAATCACCCACAAGGAAAAATAGCAACAGTACAACGGGGCGGCTTTTATGGGATTTACTCATGGGCATAGGGAATAGCGGCTCAAATGTAGTTCTGACATGAAAAGCAAGGTGCTGATATTATTTTTTATGATGGGAGGATCATAAAGTGAATTGAGAACAGCGAGGTCTGTCTTTGCTTAACCTATTCAACCAGAAATGAATGGAGCTCGACTGGAAAGGAACAGTCTTCGGATGGGTTAAGATTGAAGGGTGGACTGGACTCTACTGAGCACCGTCCTTCAAAAAGGAAATTCTATTAAAGGAAAATCAATGCATTATTATTGGGGTTCTTGAAGCTGTTTAAAACTGCCTGCTCCAATCCAGGGTTATTAGGCCAAAGTTACATAATTCAGATTCCACCGCAACCATCCAAAGTGGATTCTTGAGCCCTTGCCCCAACAGGGGGTGGGGGGATTAATACAATTCCCAGCTCCATGGAAATTGTTTCCCTTCTAAGAATGAAAAAAATAAACCATCTGCTTCAACATATAATCGATATAGTTTGTTAGCGCAATTTCTATGGTGGGGTGGGGTGGGAGGTGAGAGACGAAAATATTGATAAATTTGGTAAGGCTCATGAATTGCCGCCTGGCAACCATGTATGTCACTACTGAGGGAAGGCTGCTCATGTTCACCTTAAAAAACAAGATCTGGGCTGGCACTGGGGCATACACTTGGCTCTCAGCATATGCCTAGAGGCCAGGTCTGTCTTCGTTCAGCCAGCCCTCTGAGGCTTCTAGAAACTTCTTTCTGGAGGTAAAAACTAAATAACGTGAACTCAGAAGAATGTCTTTATCCACCTTCATACCACTGCTCTCCTCTCCCTGAATGAAACACAGTTCTGATAAGTTAGAACTTTAAAATTGGAAAGGAGGATGACATGCAAATATAATGCAAATTACCCTCAAGTATCTCCATTCTGCCACCACCTCTTGGTACCAGCGAGAGCAAGAGATTGCCTTTCCTTCCCCATCCCTCCTTCCAGCTAAGACCACCAACCAGCGGCAAATTGAAATGTCCATTTAAAAATGCATATGTCAATATTTAAATGTTATGTATTTGGCCTTATTTTGTAGTTGAGCAAATCCTCCAGATACACAGCATGTTGCAAAGCACTGGTGGCACAGGGCACCACAGGAAATTATATTTATTTAGCAAATTCATTTAACAAATATTATTAGGCACCTATTATGTGTGACACTCTCCTAGGCACCGTGGGATACAACAGTAAACACTTCACACAACAGCCTGGCCTTCCTGATGTTTTGCAACAGCTCCTAAAGAGAGCTGACAGCAAGACATTCAAGGGGCAGAGTTCATGTAGAATCAAAATATTAGTATTTCAGAATAAGGATTATTTTTCTGAAAAGCATACAGAGAGGAAATAGCTTAAAAATAGGTCAAGACCTAAAAACAGAATATAATCATAGAATAAATGGGATAGCCCAGACAGTCCCCACAGAATTTCTTTCAGGTCACAGATTTCTTAAAACTCACCCCCAAAATGTGCCTGCTTGGTTGTCTGAATCTTGCATAATTAATGTCACAGGCGCAAGCCACTGAACTTAACTGAAATGCAGAAAACAAACAAATGCAATTACATATCTAAGAAGCATTTATGTAACTGGTTAAGTGGTGAGGAGGGGTGTGTGAAGACAGTCTGCATGCATGTGTGTGTGTATTCATATACATGTGTATACATATGAATTTCACTGTTATTTTCCAGGGTCTCTGGACAATGTGGCAGTTAAGAGTCTATGATGTTCTGAAACTTTTCACAGTAAATCCAAAGATTACAGGCCTTACAAGGTGCTTGCATTCTGTTGCTTTTCCATCTGTCACTTCTCAGGTTATTTGACTGTGTTCAAACCTTCTTTTCTTTTTCCTTGAGTTTCATTTTTTAAGCTTGTTAAATGCTTTTGTTTAAAAAAAAAAAAAAAAAAAAGCCCAAATGTCATTTTTCACATCCTCTCTTCTCTGCAACAAGGATAGTAAGATGTAGATGAATGCAAAAATAATAACAATAAGGAAATATATTAAAGGTTTTAAAACATGCACATATGTAGTTCTAAGGAACAATAACAGTATCTATTTCAAACACGCATTGGGCAAAAAGAAATCACAACTGAACTTTTCGTGTATTTTTCCCCTTGTAAGATGTTAAAATGCTAATTTCATTTTCTCCTTTCCTCTATGTGGCACTTTCTCAAAATATCTATGAAATGCTTTTAGACAAAGATTGAGCTGGAGAGATACAAATTTCCATCCCCCCAGACAGAGAGACATGTTTCCATTGTAGGAAAGCATTAAACATTTTGAAACTTGTGAATCATCTTAAGAATTTCTACTGGGGAATTTTACCTCTTCATCCAAAGTAAAAGCCACTTATCTCCTTTGGTTCCCTGTGACAGATTCAGAGGCATACGCAGATATACAATTTTCAGGCTCTAGTTAATCTTCTTCCAATAGTTACGAACAATGGGCTAACGGGTGTGGGTGTTTCTCCAAAAATTATTCATGCACAAGGCAGCCCAAAGCTTCAGGGAAAACTAGAAATGTGTTATGGATTAGAACAGGACTGTTTTAAAATGCTAGTACCAGGTGGAACACTATTTCTGCAACAGGACTCTGTCCATTTCCTTTGGAACAATATATTCCGAGTAAAATGGCTCTTCCAAGGAATGACATCCTGACTTGATATCCTTAGGCATACAAATGATTTTACCAACAGCCATATGATTATTATTAAGGCCTTTTAAAATACAGGCTGTTTGAAAAAGATAGATTAAATACTCACAGCCTTTTGTATCATGTTTATTTGCTTAAAACAGCTTTTGGAAGTACAAGAAATAATTTTTTGGTGAGAAACCCCAGGAGAAGTTGAAAAATTTGAACAAAGGCATTACTAAAAAAAAAAAAATCTAACCACTCCATTCAACTCCTTTGGAAAATAAATTTCAATGTGTTCACTGAATTGTCTTGAACCTGAAATCTACATTTGGATATCAATCCCCTGCCAACGGCTAATATTAACAGAATTAGAACAATCATACAATTATGTCTCAAATATGAAGACTTTACACAGTAATATTTTCACTTTTTTTTTTTTGAAATGGAGTCTTGCTCTGTCAGCCAGGCTGGAGTGCAATGGCGTGATCTCAGCTCACTGCAACCTCTGCCTTGTGGGTTCAAGAGATTCTCCTGTCTCAGCCTCCTGAGTAGCTGGGACTACAGGCACGTACCACTACACCCGGCTTTATTTTTTTTGTGTGTGGTATTTTTGGTAGAGATGGAGTTTCACCATATCGGTCAGGCTGGTCTTGAACTCCTGACCCTGTGATCTGCCTACCTCAACCTACCAAAGTGATGGGATTACAAGCGTGAGCCACTGCACCCAGCCAATATTTTAACATTCTAAATGACCCATATAACATTCAGGAATGATAGATGTGTATGTATATTTTTTAAGTACACACAAAGTTCAACTGGTTTTCAGAGAAGTAAACATGGTGCCCGTCGTGCATTGAAATAAATATTACAGAAACATTCCAGTTTACAAGACAATACTTGAGCCTTCTAACACATCAGATGCTAGAATGTGCAATGCAAGTCAAAAAAGCCGACACACAAAACAGTTGTCATGTGTTTCAGGGTTCCTAAATGTCACAATATCTTGGGTTATAATATACTTTTTGATCTCCTGATGATGTCCTTTCTAATCCCTTCTGACTTTGATTCCTAACAGCCAGGCACTGTTGGCATGAATCATAAACTTCTAAACCCCTTTAAAATGAAGAAGTTAGGTGATCATACAGTCTTTTTAATGGCCAGCCAGTTCTTGCTCTACAGAGCTTTTATACCTTTTTGGGAAACCTGACATCACACACATTTATGTTACATATTTGCTCCCTTGCATTAATTCTAGATTTTTTTTAAATTTCTTTTAGAAAGGGCAGGCGGGGGAAGTGGGTCAGAGCAAGCTTCAAGGATCACATTCATCCTTGCTCTAAAAGAAAGTGTTTGCCAGCAGAGAAAGGCAAACACATTTTTATATTCAGAAAGCAGACCGGTCATTTTCAAAGAAAAATGACTGCAACCATACCTGTAGAATGTTTCTGTGCAAGCGCACTAATTTTCTATCACCTGCATGCTGTATATAATACATTTGCCTGTATACTAGGAAGGAAAACCAGGCCGTTTTCCTTGAGTACAATGCAGCTTGGATGGCTGGGAGCATAAGCCTTTCGTGCATTTTTATACTGTACATATTTGTATATACTATATCGCCATGTATGAACACAGATTTTGTTATATTTGCTTGTTTCTGTTTCCTACCAAACTGGTCCACAATGGGGATTCTTTTGTATAGAAAAAATATGCTTGTAATTTTTTCCTGGTCATTCTCTTTCAATAGCTTATGAAAGAATTAGATCTGAGTTTACAAAGAAACTATAAGAACCAAGTTTGTCTGTCTGCATGAGTCCCGTCCAATTGCTGGATCTAGGGAGGAATCAACGTCCTAATTCAGAGTTTTCCTTTAAAGGCATGCTTTACCCCGTGGGAAAACTGCAAACTCATCCATGTAGAATTATTCTCTTTGTATTTTATCTAATAGTGCCTGAAAATTTTTTTAATGTCTTCTTAGAGGAAGAATTCATAATTGTCAAAATTTGAAACATTAGCTTAATTTTGTTTTTATGACCTCAAGATTCTTCTCCTTATTTATTCGGTTGCTGTTGTAATGGGGCCCCAGGCCATTCCTGACATCGCAGTGTTCTTCTTCTGCATTAAGGATGCTTTTGAAATTACAGAGATTATTGAGCCAACAGGCTGTTTTAATCAAAACCATGTTTCACTTGTTTTTGATGATTATAAATTGTCCTTGCAATGAAAAAAAAACAAACAAAAACTTTTCTGCTAGGAAGATTATACCACCCTGTGGCCAAACAGATTCATCACAGATAGACATCTATGCCCACCTCTCTGGGATCTGGAAAATTCTTCCCTTGGCTAGCCCCAATTTCGTTTACTCCCCATCATCCTGAATATTAGCTCTCAATGCAGTCACTGTTTGAAATTTCCAAAGGCTTTGCTGCATTGTCACGGCCCAAAGACAAACAACCAGCCGGAAATGATGGCTTTCCTGCTTGAAACAAATGAAGGGGGTTGGGTGCAGTGGTTCACACCTGTATCACAGCACTTTGGGAGGCCGAGACAGGATGATCGCTTGAGGTCAGGAGTTTGAGACCAGCCTGGCCAACATGGCAAAACCCCATCTCTACCAAAAATACAAAAAAATTAGCCGGGCATGGTGGCGCGTGCCTGTAGTCCCAGCTACTTGGGAGGCTGAGGCAAGAGAATCACTTGGGCCCAGGAGGCGAAGGTTGCAGTGAGCCGAGATGGTACCACTGCACTTCAGCCTGGGTGACAGAGTGAGACTCCGTCTCAAAAACGAACAAAAAAAAAAGAAGGGATTTTCAGAAAAAGTGCTCCCTTTTTTGTCCCATGGTGCCACCATCCTGTACTCCCTCCTAATCGTGAACAATCTGATCTGGATCTCCCACCTAACTTAAATCAAGCAAAAACATTCACAGCAGCCCCTTGCTGAATTAAATGACTTTGTTTGGAGGCACTTAAGATGTATGCCTGTGTGTGATGCCGCAGCATTGAAATTATCTGTAGAAGGGGAATTTTTTTTTAAATACAATTTTACCAATAGAAATAAATTCCGATGGTGGAGACGAAGAAAACCCTTAAATTATATCACAAAAGCCATTATTTTTTGCATCTAAAGAGTTTTTTTTTTTTTAAGGAAAATCATTCTACTTTGAGAACTGTAATTAAAGCCCTAAATAACAGACACTACTTCTTTGAGCTATTGTGAAAAAATAACAACACACTCGCCAAGATTGTATGGAGCCCCTGATTTCCATCAAAAAGGTTTCTATAAGTATATTATTTACATTTTTATACAGGATAACTCTTTCCTTTGTGTTGAAAAAAAAGTCTCTTTTTTTTTTTTTCCACTCAGCAGTTATTGGAAATAGACTGTTTCCATCTGAAACCTTATCGTCATTTGCATCAGGAAACCCAACTGCTGACATTAAGGACCTGGGTGTGTTCAATTATGATTTTGCTGGAGGCTGTCCCTCATTTTAATGCTGCAGATATTGAACCACCTTTCTGAAACCTAGCTGATACGGAATAGCAGAGACATGCCTCTCAACACCATTAGCTTTGCAAATGGCTTCATTTCAGTCAACGTCGACTTCTGCTTTGGCCAATTGAAAAATGAAAATTAAAGGAGAGAAGAAAAAAAAAAACACAGATGCACTTAAAACATGAAAAGAATTATTTATATGATAAAAATATATTTAGATTTTCAAAGCACAAGACTGAAGAGAAGTGCTCTTTTTATGCTTTCTGGAGATGTTACTGTTAAATGTCTTTCTACATCAGGCTTAATAAATCTGTAATGACATTTGATGGATTGATTTCTGCCTATGTGTGTTTTTTAAAGATGGCATGAGAGGAAAAAGGCAGGAGAGAGGGGGATGAGGGCGGGAAAGAACACCCGACCCCCGGGGAGGCCAAGCAAGGACATTATTGGTGGGCCTCTCTGTTGTTCGGACCTGCTGACCCACTTCCAGAATCTTACCTCATCTCCATCAGATTTTTTTTTTTTTTTTACAAATGCCAGCACCCCTTGTTTGGTTTCTGGGCTGCCTCTAACTGCTCTCATCTCTGGTCTGCTTGCGCCTGAGTAATTTATGATGTAATCTCAACAGAGGCAGTGGGCGGCTGT